GACTACTTAAATTAGACAATAACTAAAGTTGTATGAGTGGCTAGTTGTACACTCTTTCCATGGTTGCCCCCTGTGGTAGTAATACAACCATTAGCTAAATGTACTATCAATAAAATCCTGGGTCGCAAATACTCATCTTAATATTTAAAAAAAAAAAAAAAAAATTTGTGTTCACAATACTATGTCAGGTTCAGATTACCTAAATATTATAAGTAATTAAAAAGTAAAAATAATTACTTATAATTTTATTAATTATATAGGACATAATTATCATATTTTTTCAAAGCAATTTGGTCTTCATAATATATTTAATTATGACAAGAATGAGTGAGAACAAGGTAACTTATCTTTTTTGATTAAGTTCTGAATTGAAATGTTTCATTAATTTTGTAATCACTTTTTCAGATTTTAGATAAATCCTTTAATTTTATATTAGATGGAAAAACTAATAAATGCATTCATTGTGAAATTGTGAAATTCTATTCTCAAAAACATCATAATATAGAACAATACAAAAGTATGTCGATGTTCAAATATATAATGATCTTATAAATTGTCAAATTGATATTTATTTAGTACTTATTAGGTTAATTTATAAGTAATTAAAATAATTTGGTTATATATTAAATTAATTGAACTTTTAATTATATAAATTTTTAATAAAATATGTTTATTTAATAATATATTAATATAAATATCAAATAATATATAAATAATAAAATATATAGTGTTTATACATGATAAATTTCTACAATATCACTATCTTTCCAAACAGAATATTTATTCCCTTCAATAAATTTTAAATGAAAATTTTTTTCTTCATTATATTTAATATTATAATCACCTTGACTTAAATAAAATATTTCTAACATTTCAGGATCAGTATTATTACATTCAGTTTCAAAAGGTATTTTAATCTTTTCTTCATGTTTTTTAGTTTTTTTAATTAAATAATATTTTGTTTTTTGAGCTTCTTTAGTTATAGATTCAATTAATAATAATTTAGCAATTAACACATTAATAGGTGATAAGATAATGCAATTTTTTTATTTATTAAAAACGCATTAAAGTTATTTTTTTCAAAAAGGTATTTACCAATTTTTGGCATCTTAAAAAATTAAAAATTAATATAGTTTTAAATAACAATATTATAAAAAAAAGATAAATACTTTGTTCATTATAAAAAAGTACATACAAAAATTTAGGCATTTTTGAAATTTTTTATTTATAAGCTTAAAAGTATTCTAAAAATAGTTATATTTAATTACACTAAGATAGAACAAATGTATTTATATATAAATTAATTTATATAATATACTGCATAATTATCAAAATAAGAAACAATACAAGTAATTCATATAATTTATTTGGAATTTGTACATATTTAAGATAGCATCATCAATTTGTACTTATTAAAATTCTTCAATATTTGTTTTATGATAACATTTGTATTAAATATATTTTAAAAATTGGAATTATTATGAAAAATTTTATCAAACTTTCTTATATCAAGAGTTTATTAAAGACTTTCTTATTTTGAATAGATTTTATTATAGACAGGTTTTGACTTTACTTTCTTATATCTAGAGTTTAATTAATCTTTCTTATTAAGAGTCGCTTGTATATATTTGTTATTTATTTAAAGAATTTTAAGAGTAGGGGGTAATGTAAATCATTTCTATATAGAAATATATAGTATTTTAAAATTTTCATCTAAAATTGATATATGCTACTAATAAAATTTTTTTATTTTTTAATTAATCAATAA